ATAACAGAGGGGACTGGGAGAGGGTGATAACAGATGGGACTGGGAGAGGGTGATAACAGATGGGACTGGGAGGGGATGATAACAGCTAGGACTGGGAGGGAGGGTGATAACAGCTAGGACTGGGAGAGGGTGATAACAGCTGAATTCTCCCTGTAATGAAAATGTCATGATCTCTGTTGTTGTCTAGCGGCACAGATGACAAGAAAGGCATCCGCCATATTGGATGCAAAGACAGACGTCAGGATATGGTAACTTAGCAACCTTTCTGTTTCGTTAATTACACATCCGTTCAATAAATTTCTAGGGTTTGCGAGTGGTCTGACCTACTCATTGGTAACAACGAGACAATAACAAACAAGAAAATAAGCCATACCTTCATGAAATGGCATTTAAAACTAACAAGAGCCTAACAGTCGATTGGTAACTAACAAAAGCTTCTGGAAATGGGGCCCTGCTCTATTTCAGGTGAGCCTTATACCTGCCCACTTGTCTGTGGTCACTTAACCATGTGTCCTGCTCTATTTCAGGTGACCCTCATACCTGTCCACTTGTCTGTGGTCACTCTGGCCCCTGTGGTCAGTGCAGTGGCCGTAGTGAGGTGACATGTCGCTGTGGAGCCTATACCAAGGAGATGCCGTGCAGTGAGGCTGACCAGTTCACAGGTACAGTGAATGGGTTGGTGTGCAGTGAGGTTGACCAGTTCACAGGTACAGTGAGTGGGTTGGTGTGCAGTGAGGCTGACCAGTTCACAGGTACAGTGAGTGGGTTGGTGTGTAGTGAGGCTGACCAGTTCACAGGTACAGTGAGTGGGTTGGTGTGTAGTGAGGCTGACCAGTTCAAAGGTACAGTGAGTGGGTTTGCCTTTGGCTTTCAGCGCAAGATGCAGATGTGTGCACATCTTATCAAGAAAGATTGATTTCATGCGTAAATTTCTGAACTATGTATTAACTGCTTGTAAAAGGTGTAGAATTAAATGAAAAATTCTTTAGAGGCCTCCTTAATGCCAGGCAGACAGTTCACTGTATTATCATGATGTAATTCAACATTTTAGAGGCCACCCCGCTGATCTGCCAGAAGAGATGTACCAAGAAACGGTCTTGTGGTCGTCACAAGTGTAATGAAATCTGCTGCACTGTTAGTATGCATTTTCTTTTTTCTTCTTTTTTGGAGAATTAATAATTGGCATTTTAAACAATTTTGATTAAATATTAAAAAGGTTTACCAAACACTTTAATGTTAAGTGTTATGATTCTTACAATTTGGGGATTATGCCATTTTTATACACACTGGTGGGCTAAGCATAATATTTACTGTAACAGTTGTATAGATTTTTAATGATATAACCTGAAAACAACTTTGTATCAATATTTCTCAGATAAAAGGGGAACATGTTTGTGAACAGCTTTGTGGCAAAAGACTTAGCTGTGGACAACACACATGTGAGGAGCCTTGTCACCGTGGCAACTGTCCACCATGTTGGCATGTCAGTAAGTATGCTTCCATAATTAGTACTACATTTCTTCAAAACACTTAGAATGAGTAAATTTTGTTTAATAGAATTATCATTTTTTCTGCAAAGTTTTATCATTTCAATTGTCATGATTTTTTTCAATTTAGAAAATAGTAATAATAGTAAAGATAAGAAGTGGGAAAGGTTGTGCAATTTTATAAGTATTCTTAATAAAGATCTGCCTAGGACAACAGTGTCATTCATCTATTAAGAAAAATTATTTTTTTCAAATAAATCATCAGTTTTTAGAAGTCTTAGATCAAGAATTGGTGTAAAGCAAAATCTACTTCCCCTGCCTGTTCATGATGTCATCCTCAGTCATCAAAGTCCTTCAGTTTGATGTTGACCTGTATGAACCCTGATCTTGTGCTGCACTGTTTTCTAGGTTTTGATGAGTTGTGGTGCCAGTGTGGAGCTGAGGTGCAGTATCCTCCCATTCCCTGTGGAACCAAGCCACCAGAGTGCCGCAGGACATGTACCAGGCAGCATGACTGCCAACATGAAGGTAATTCACCCAGGAGACTGATCTCTAATTTCAAATGTTTGTCTTCAGTATCAGATTTGAACTTGATATTATATTACTTTATTATTGATTTCAAATCAGCTGTCAGTTTTAGTTTCCTGAGGAATTGTCAAAAACTTTAACTGACATTGACTTGTGCCACCTTGAAATGAGTCTCAAAAGAAATACATGTATTTAGTTTGCCACAGGCATTCTTATTTATATGCCATTTTTATGGACAGACTCATTGTGTCTGAACATAGAGGCTTTATGTCCATGTGTGTCCATTGGTGGCCCATCTACCTGCCTGGGGTTTTCATGGTTAATACAATTAAAGAAGACTCAGTTACTTGTTCTTGAAAAGAGATTAACTCAGTCTTAAAACCTTGAGCAATTTGAGTTTTAAAAATAGTTAGTTTGTTATAGTATCTGTTTTATCTGTTTTATTAATTATTAAGGGTATGTTATAGTAATATCTGTTTTATTAATAAATGACCTTGTTATTCCAGTGCGTCATTCCTGTCACAGTGAAGACAAGTGTCCACCATGTGCTACTCTCACTGAGAAACTGTGTATGGGAGGTCATGAGGTATGGGGCAGCAGTTTTTCTTATTTAATCATGGTTTTACCAACAAATTCTGGAAATATCTAAGATTGTGTTTTCCTCACCTTTAGTTATTCATTGTCCAGGTGTAGTGGCTGAACACAATTTCACAGATTTCTGGTCCGCCTATCTTTCTCTCCAAAACCATTAAAGACATTCTCAGTGGGTTAAACCCTTAATATAGCAATAAAGTGAATTTTCCTGGAAACCTCACCAGTTTTCCCATAAAGGCCAAGGTATATCCTATCCAAAACCGTTGAAAAAATGAAGCTACCTAAAAGTGTCATTAATTTATTTAAGACGACTCGTCTTAAATACTCAGCTACCATCTTACGTACAGTACAGCTTCAGAACGAGCAATTTCTCTCTAAGTCTTGCTGTTTACTCTGAATGAAATACTACAGCTGGGACCCGGATGTTACTATTTGGCACAGAGATAGCCAAGATGGAGATGCAGGAAAAGTATTGCAACCGTGACAAAAGTGGTAGAAAAAATGTATATACTACTGTTCTCTAATTACGGAAACTGGAGAATCTGGCAAAAAACTACCCATACAGTCTATATTGGTAGTAAGGTGGGCCGCTGGAAGAAGCTGAAAAAATTTAATGTCAAGTTTGAGGCAGACGCAAAACTTCTCCTCGGCACGTGAGTAGGCCTATATGCTAAACAAGTCTCAAGTTTATGCATGGCTATTATTTCAGCCCGTTTACTATGTTTCTAGCCATACTAAGTTAGTAACAAGGTGAATTTCGATCTTCATGTTTTCTGGATTTGTTTTGTGTGGGATCTACAGGCGATAATTATCCAGACGGTACTTACTTTTCTGACAAACTTGCACTGCATTGTGACGTCAGTATCATCACCTATGTTATGACTGAACCCTGCTGTGATCGGTCGTGAGCGTGGGAAAATCCAGGTAGTGACCTTGAGCTGGAAATACTTCCTGTTGTGCTCCAAAATCATGATAAATAGTTTTCGTTTTCTAATTTTTTATTCTAGTTGTTTTAGCAGAATTTTTTTGACCCAAACTGATTAAGATAATAAACAATCTTCCAAAACACAAATCTGATCAAAGTTTTACGTAGAACCTGCTCCTATACATTAATCAAACCCACTGAGAGTGTCTTCAAATATTTTGTTTTTCATTAAATTTTGTTGATATGTTGTTTATGATTGAAGTCAGAGCAGATTTGACAGGGGCTGCAACTGTGGAAAACAGTTCTGTACTAAATCTAAATAAAATTAAACTCTGACCCAAGATTAGATGAACACACAAAGCAAGATTTCTGATCTCAATGACATTTTTCCTCTGGGACATCAAAGGTTTTGTCTGTATGACAAAGTTTTCTTTGGTTTTATGGTGACAATGCCTATATCTTTCCACACTGTCCTGACATAGACTTATACTTTTCATTTTATTCACTCTTTTATTCTATTTTCAGCTACGTAAAAACATCCCCTGTCACTTGACGGACATCTCGTGTGGATTGAGGTGTAACAAGGAGCTGCCCTGTGGAAGACACAAATGTCAGCTGCTGTGTCACAAGGTAAGCTGGACAGGGGCTGCTCTGTAGTCAGCTGCTGTGTCACAAGGTAAGCTGGACAGGGGCTGCCCTGTATGGACTGCAGTTTGGGGTCACTCTCTTTGTTTTAGGTGTGATATCTCGTTGAAAGAAGAATGTCATTAAGTGACATGGGTTATTTTTCAACAAAGTTCAACTCGATTGCAATCATATTTTACTACATATTTGTGATGATTCCATTAAATCACTCAATATTGTCACCAATGAAGGGAGCCTGCCTCAAAGAAGGGGAGAGCTGCATCCAGCCGTGTCCTGAGTCTCGGCCAGTTTGCGGTCACCCTTGTAAAGCACCCTGCCACCAGATGGCCCCATGTCCACCTTCCACCTGTAAGGAAATGGTAAGTGGATCACTTCAGTGATACCTGCATCTGTCTCCCTCAACCTTGCCAGTAAATTATACACATCAGTGATACCTGCATCTGTCTCCCTCACCCTTGACAGTAAATTATACACATCATCTGATTTTATTCACACCAGTCTTCAGTGCTGATCCTCAATCAACTTATGAAACTGATATGTGCCTTTTAGGTAGTTTGAACTGATACAACTGATACTGATACAATAAAATTTATATCTATTTGTCAGTTTAACTCAGCATACATTCTTCGTAGCTTTTCTCTTTTATTACATCAAATCTTGACATGTTGTATTATGTCACAGTCCTCCTTTTCTGTTTTAAGGTGGTGGTCAAGTGTGCGTGTGGACACCGGTCTGCCAGGGTCCAGTGCTTGGCTGGAGCCCAAGAGAAGTCACAGGACTTTCAAAAGTAAGAGTTGTTCCAGAGCTGTTTAGTTGTTCTCTCAGACAGTGTCAGGTTGAGCTGGCTTAGCACTGGACTAACAACTCTATCAAAACTGATTGTACAGCCAGATTGTGATCCTTCTCTCATAATGCTGGTCCCCACTGAAATAACTCTCTGCTTTTGATAACAACTGTTAACAAACCCTTCTTAAGTTTCCTGACTTTTTTAAAGAAAGTATTTCTGTTTACGTGTAATGGTTTACTTTAATTGTTCAGAGTTAGTGAGAAGTGTGGAGTAGTTTATTAACAAGGTGTGTGTTCTGTTGACCAGGTTGTCTGGGGCAGCACTGGCCAGTCAGATGCAGCAGTTACTCACTGGACAATCAGTGGACCTCACACCACTACTCAACTCCTCCAAGTCTGGCAGGACAGATACTGTGTATGTATACAACTGTGCTGGGAGCTGTGTTTACAGTGTGAACTGTGTGTTTGACATCCTGTGACATCCTGTGATATTCTGTGATATGAATTCTGTGCTCTACAACACAAATAGTTTGATATGATGTTTTGATTCCGTTGGTTGTATTTTTGTCTGTTATTCTTAAACATTCAGTCTACAGTGTAATGATGACAGTGTTGTATTGATGTTATGTTTCAGTCTACAATGTAATGATGACAGTGTTGTATTGATGTTGTGTTTCAGTCTACAATGTAATGATGACAGTGTTGTATTGATGTTGTGTTTCAGTCTACAATGTAATGATGACAGTGTTGTATTGATGTTGTGTTTCAGTCTACAATGTAATGATGACAGTGTTGTATTGATGTTGTGTTTCAGTCTACAATGTAATGATGACAATGTTGTATTGATATTGTGTTTCAGTCTACAGTGTAATGATGAGTGTGCTGTAATAGAGAGGAACAAGAGGTGGGCATTAGCACTGGAGATCAAGAACCCAGACTTGAACGCTAAACTAGGAAACCCAACCTACTCTCAGTTTCTCAAGGATCAGGCTAAGTGAGTAGGAACTTTTTGTAGAATAGAAATTAAAAATATGTATTTGTTAACTACATATATCAGTTTCTACCCTAGCTGAAAGTGTACCTGTAAAAGTGTACCTGTCAGTGTTGAAATTGGACAGTTAAAATAGTCCTCAATATGAACAACAGGACAACATAGTTCAACTTCCATCAGAATATATCATTGTTATGTACAGAAACAGATTGTATGTATATATATATAGCCCTCACCTATGTTTGTAGTCTGCGTGCTTTTCACTGTGTACTTTTCTCTGTTAACACAATTTATGGAAAACTGTTTGATTTATTATCTTCAATAGGGTGATAAAAGGTACTAAAATACAGGGAAGGTTCAAGTAGCAGCTTTATTGGATTAATTTATTGATCCTGAAATGTGTGACTTTGGAATTCCATTGGCCTGAAGATCAGTGTTATTTACATTTTCTGAATGTTGATGCTACTGTTCACCTAATTAAGAACTGGTTATGATTATGCTGTTAAACCTGATGTAATACTATACAAAACTAACAGAAATACAATTATTTTTCTCTCTTTTGTGTCTGTACATTTGACAGATTTGCTTCCCTGTTTAAAATCTAAACTAAAGTTTAAATAAGATTTTATTTTGTGGCAGGTAGTGTGCTGTATAGTTAATACTTGACAGCTGAAATATTGTTAATCTTTGATTTTCAGACAGAACCCTTCCTTTGTGGCATCTGTTGAGAAAGCTCTGGCTGACCTTGTTCATAGTTGTAAAGACTTAAAGCAGCCCCGCCGCTGCCACCCATTCCCCCCAATGAACCGGAGTCAGAGGCAGGTGGTCCATGAGCTGGCAGAGTTCTATGGCTGCCAGACACAGAGTTACGATAATGAACCAAAGAAGAATGTGGTGGCCACTGCAACCAGGTATGTTGGGCTATCCTGGGTACAGAAAGCTTACTTCTTACTAGGTATGTGGGCCTATTTTGGGTACAGAAAGCTTACTTCTTACAGGATAAAGACAAAATGGAGTGGTAAAAGTAGAATTTGCTCCTTAATATCCGATATGTAACAGTTAAGTTAAGTTAAGGTAAAGGTTTCTATCACTCTGAATGTCACAGCATTAACTCTAGAATGACCCACATACAGTAAGGCACTGGCAGTAGATGTTGTCATTCCCATATTTCAGAGACAAGTGCTGGTTACCCAGTGTAAGCCTTACCACCCTGGTCCAGAGAGAGCTGCACCCTAAAGCACCACAGCCAATACCACACAACTTTAAGGAGGAACAAGTCAGGTAGAAGTTGGCTGGACTGGGATTCATTTATTTATTTTGGAGGGGACCTGTTTGTTTTAAAGTATTACTTTAATTATAACATTTGGTGTTATATGTTCATATATTTCGTTTTTTAACTGATGGAGAAATAGTTGGCAACAATTTATGGTGTTTGAAGCACATGTTTGATAAGTGTGTGTGTGTTTTGTCTGATTTGATGAATTGTTTCAGAGGAATTGTTGAATCCAGTGGAGTTGACACCATCTTGTCTCTTATCTCTGCAGGTCTGTAGCCCAGGCAGCAAAACAGAGCACCACCATCTTGGAAAGTAGGAATTCTGGCGGCTCAGCTCTGAAGGGAGAAAAATTTGTGGACTACTTTGATTTTACAGACTGAAATTATTTGGGTTGCAAATTTTTATTTTATGACATACCACATACCCACTCACTGCTTGAATCCAGAATACAAACAATGGCAACAGTATCAAAATAGGCAATTTTCCAAACTCTGTAAATTGTAAACCACTGGTTTCATTTGAAATGTACTGATTTCATATTAGACATAACAAGTGTGGTTTTGGTGGTGTCTCATGTTCTCAGTTCTCAGGATTGTTTCCAAGACCATGCCAGGGATGTTGTTCAGCTTTACTATGCAAGTACAAACCAGTGCTTTAGTTTTTGTGAAATGCGTTTCACCTAATATACCTCAGAACTTACCAAAAAAATTAATGTGAAGCACATTTTTGTTTTCAAAGTATCTAGTATTTCATGAAGATGTATTGAAGTAATCTTGCTCAAAACTGATTGTCATGTGGTTGAAGACATTGACATTAATTAGATTGAGAAGTTTGCCTTAATTCTCCATAAGCATTGAACAGGGAGGCATAGTACAGGAATTACTCGGAACTTTTCAGTGAGCAGAAATTATCATTATTTTATTATCACAAAAATTATACTTTACTGCACAGAATAGAACTATAGAGTAGCCTGCTTTACATTTCTACAATTTCTACGTATATGTACACCAAAACCCTGGCACTGAGAACTGCAGCAGTCTGCGGTAAGTACTGTACACCTGTAACCTAACGTCGTTCACTTTGCAATTACGATATTTTCCCAAAAAGGTGCATTTGCACTTACGCCATAATGACAATGGGGGCATTTTACGTACGTAAANTTTTTTTTTTTTTTTTTTTTTCTACTAAACAATAGGAAAGTTATAATTATAAGAAATGATGATTTATGAAATACAGCATCTGTAAAATTCACAATTTTCCCCCCATTGAAAAGATGGAGTAATTACCATATGTACTTAAGCAGGAAGTTGAATGTAATGTGATTGTATCATTAAAATTCCATTTCAGTCAGAGAAAAATTCTGCCTATATCTATAGTATTTTTGCTTTGCTTCATGTTTGACTAAGCTGGATAACATAATTTGTATGAAAATCTTCCATTTCTATTGTAGATTGTTTTTTGGGGGTGGTGGTGGATTTGAGACCTGTATTTGCAAAAGAAATGAATAAAGCAGTTTACATTATTTGAAGTACAGACTGTATATCCCTCAGTGACCACGTAATGGTTCAACGTGGTGCTGGGCCAGCAGAGGGGGTTGAAGCTGACTGTTAACCAAGAGAAACGTGTGTGTGAAAACAACTGGTTCAAATCATTTAGCCAAAATTAGGGCAATAAAAATTGGGATGAAACTTCCCATTTTATAATAACATAAAAAATAGAAAAGCACCCAGAGAGAGCAAACCCCACCACCAGTATGAGGAATTAACTAATAATTAACCATCAGCAGAGTCTAATCTCTTTGTAGTTGTCACTTTTGTGACTCGCATGTATCATGGGAATTTCACCCAAATCCACCCATAATTTTTTGAGTTTGACCGGTGACAAATAGGCGAACAAACAAAAATTGCACAGAACAAAGACTTGGGGGGTACTGTAATACACTATATAGTATATTTATGGAGCTCAGGCATGGTGCACGCGGTTTTTGCCAACTGACTTGGGCACGTACAGGCTACTTTCTGACCACAAGGACTGCTGTTACGCAAAATTGCTGAAGGCCTCTTCTTCATTTTAATTGTTCATTTCCAATTCATTATTTTCTGGGGATGTTCTTAATTGGCTGACCGGGTAAGAACTAATGAAAAAAAAAACAGAGGCAAAGTGCTCAGTGGGCGCACAGGTCGTTCGTAGATTACAGGAAACGCCCAGATTTGTTGTTCAAAGGAAGCACCAAGGCCGCAGGAGCATTTACGCAGAAACACGATTTGCTTGCTTTGGCGTCATTGAACGTCCTGGCCACATTTTTGGCCGTAGAAGGGACATACTGTACAAATGTCGCAGCTCAGTTTAAACGGGGCTTTAGTAAGTTGTTAGAAGTCAGGACCTGGTATCAGTTCAGGATGTTTTATGTGATTGCATTAAACATTTAAATACACAGGATTTAAAAAATTCAATGGGATTTCTTTTGTAAATATCAAAACTTAGATTTTTTATGTACATAGATAAAACATGGTAATTTGAAAGAAGCCCTGACCTAGTATCACTTAACGCAATTTGATGTGATTACACCATATATTTAAAAAAAAGAATGAATTTAAAAAATTCAATGAGATTTACCATGTCAATTTTAAAACGTAGTTTTGTTTACATTTAGAAAAAAGCAAGAACCTTGTGGATGAAACTTGGTGAGTCGAAAGAAGTCATGATCCAGCTGGTTGTGTCACTTTACAATTTTAAAAGAAGGCCACTGCAGCGTTTTAACTACTGCACCAGGAATAATATCATACATTTAACTACCAAAAAGTTAAAAGTGCATTTGGACCATTGCTGCTCCTTTAGGAGCATAGGAATACTTCAGTTTTTAATTTTGGCTCGACTTATTGTTTGATAGAAAAAGACGAATGGATTGCTGTAAAAAAATATATCAGAGGGATTTTATCATTATAATTATTATTGTTATGCGACCATGAACTGGCGGCTGAGAGATGCTGGCACCAAAGGTCCCTTGAAAACGAACTTTAAACTCGCAACTGCTACAGGTATCAAGGAAAATAAGGAAACAAGCCTAACTCTTGAAGCCTGTATAGTACACAAGAGAGTTAGAACTATGAACTAGCAGGTAGTGATCAGAATCTATCAACCCCCTCCCCCCCCCAGTCTACACACTGCTACTCGAATGTCTCTTATAATTTATATTATATAAAGCAAGCGCCCGTCACATAAATCCGCATGAATTTGTCTTTTATTTTACAAGACGGCATGTAGAAAAAAAATCATGTGATCTTCTCTAACGCAATCCCACGCTTGGAGTAATTTAATATTGGGCTCTTTTACTTGATGTATATGGTATCTGATTGCTGAGCCTGCTCACTAGATATCAAATATAATGGCTGGAAATTGGGTTGCTTGGGGTTGATTTCAATAAACCTATTTTCATATTATAATATATATGTGTGACAAAGGCTAAATCTTAAACCGAGGCTTCCGTACAGAGAGTAGGGAGGGAACGGCACAGGCGAGTATTTAGGTGAGAGGTGTTCAGATAAGACCAAGGTCATTAGACGAATGCAAAGAAAGACGCCCAATGCAACATTTCTACAATTTCTACGTATATGTACACCAAAACCCTGTCACTGAGAACTGCAGCAGTCTGCGGTAAGTACTGTACACCTGTAACCTAACGTCGTTCACTTTGCAATTACGATATTTTCCCAAAAAGGTGCATTTGCACTTACGCCATAATGACAATGGGGGCATTTTACGTACGTAAACGAGAAAAAAATTAGCCTGAAATATAAATAGTTTATTTCTGCTATTTTTCCAGAGAGATCGTATTTGTCAATTCATATATGCAAGTACTGCAAGGGTCTTTGCTTAGCTGCCCTGATGTGTAAAAGTTTTTTCCGCCTTACAAAACATTGCCTGACAGAAATTTATTTTCTTTAATTTCAGTGACTCTTAACTACCGCTTACGAGGCGATTGGATGCGTCTCCCATCCAAGACATCAGTTTAGTATTTGCCAGCGCCCGCATCCTTGTCAAGATTGCCTCGCTTGTCGAAGTTTGTCTTCTAGCTAATTTGCAGGGTTGACATTTGATGTTGAATTTGCTTTAGATTGTAATAGTCTATGATATTTTGTATCAAAAAGTGTGTAAGCAGAAAAGTCGCAAGAAACGAGCATCTTATTCATGAAACCTTTGATAAGAAAATTTTAAATGGATTTTAAAAGTGCAAGAGTCAACCCTGTATGTTGCTGTTTAAACACTATATATGTGCTTCTAAGCCGCACTGGTAGCATAGTTCTCTATTCACCTACGTGGGTTTTATTGTAGCTTGCTTATAGTTTTATACCCTGAGATGACACCTGGAGATCTCCGTTAACAGAAGGAATATCAGTGCAAAACAGTGCCTTATTTTTATTAAATGTTGTAACGTGGATAATAAAGAGATTGTCGCACATGTTTTGAAACGATCTTTCCAAGAGTGCTAGGTTGTAATTATTCTTGCTCTGGCTCTCTGTGTTTTGATACTGTTGTGCGTCTGGTTGGTGGCCGTGTTCTCAATTCTGAGAGATGTCAAAATGTTAGTTTTAAAGAAATTAAACAAAGGAATTGCACTAGGTAGATTTCCCGAAATTAACATGCTTTCGGTTTCGCAGTAAGAGAAAACTTGTTGCGCACACAATAAGAAATATACAAAAAATTTACCAGTCCTTTTGTGTGTCGTTTAAGTGCCAATATTACAAAACAGCAAAAATGTTAGTCACGAAAAAAAAATGAAGTCGTAAAAAGTGTTTTTTTGCATGATATTACCATTATAGGATTATGTAGGACTGACATTTTCATGATTTTTTAAATTTGACAAAAAAGTTGCACTCAGCTCTCTTTTTAAAGATGACCTTGAACCATGTGTTTACAAATAACTTTTGTTTCCGGGCTGGAGTGAATGAGGACAAATGAGACTTCAAAAGGCAGTCCTACACGGCCTATTGGGTGATTTGTGCAACTTGTTTTATAACCACTGAACTTCATTTCTGAACACGAGGGGCCAGGGTTGTGTTTATTAGTATTTATACGATGAACGTTTTTGATTTTTGTGTAACCTTGTGAGTTTTGTTTGCATATTACTGTTGGCAATGGCTGGTATACCCTTGTACACTGACCCTGTTTTGATGCCTTTCTTCATTCGTACACATGCAAACCTGTTGTGTCTCCCAAAACCTTAAGTTAGGATTGACTGAGGTACGAGCCAGATCTATTCATATTTCAAAGGGGATTTTGGCTTATTTTTGGGATCACTCTTAAATTGTATTATATGCATTTTGAATATTCGGTGTTGTTTACACCACTGAAATTGGACGTTCCACGATGAAATTTTACACCCCCCCCCTTTCTGGGACAAATACACCAACATCAAATTTGTACTACGATCGCAAAGTATATTATGGTAAATTTATTAATTTTGGCACTAAAACTGTAACAATTTGCTCTCGCTGGATTTGTTTCAACCGTATTATTCCTAAGCTTTTCACAAGCCTAAAGAAGAAATAGTTGTTTGAGGAATTTTTCAAAATGCATAGAATCTTCAAACAAGTTAGTTTGTTGAAATAATTATTGAAAGCTTGATTGGTCAGTCTTCTCTGGAGATTTCTATCAATCAATAGTAAAATTAAACATTTTACCATTTTTGTGAAAATAGTTAACATTTTTTGTTAGAATCTTTGTTAAAATTGTACGTTTTATGATTTTTACAATTTTTGTTTGAATAATTGAAATTGTACGTTGTATAATTTTTGTTAGAATATTTAATATTGTACTTTGAAAATCTTTGTTATAAATGATTTCTATTTATTTTGACAATAATAACATGTTCTTTGTCAAAAATAATTCAGGCCTTTATTTTGTACATTTATATCCAATTTCCACGGCTGGTCTCGAGCCTCTTACCGTCTGGTTATCTTTCTACCACTTTACCCACCTAGCCAGGGACTCTTCTTGCCACCCTATGCTTCACAGGATCGTCTTATAACAGTTCAAATCGATAATTTGGATTTTATTTTGCAAAAGGTAATTTGCTGGGACCCAGGAGCGCCAGGAATCGAACTCGGGACCTGCTCACTCGGAGGCAAGCGCGCTATCCACTCCCCTAAGTGTTCCCACCCACCCTCCCCGGGTAGACTTTCTTCTTATAGTAACCAAAGGGAAAATTCTTAAGGTCCCCATTTGTAACATCCAAGTGCCCAAGCCAAAAATGGCCCCCTACCTCAGACTGTCACTGAGCCCCGCGGCTGTCAATTAGGAGACGAAAACATTTGCCACATAGTTAAAAGAGTATTTATTAAGCGCAAAACAAATTTCCATTACATGTTAAGCTACACTTTTCTAATTTTTTTTTATAAATTCCTTCAGGTTCAGAATGTATGTGAGACAATTGACACTCATGTTGAAGCAGATACAATCTGTTTATTCGATTTGATAAATAAATTACATGCATCAACTTATCTACTTATTTTGTGTTTGATAATATTACTATTAAACAAAGTATTCTAGAAAAGACAAAGATATTCTAAACAATTACTTCCTTTTAAAAACGCTTCCTTTTAAAACTTTAAAAATCACTCAGGACTATGAATCATGCCCATAAATATCCTCAATCGCCCAGCATTTCATAATTTGACCCATTGTAAACTACCCGCCCGTGTTGCCGTCTCTTTCTGACAACAAGGGATTATGAAAACGATTTCAGTATATAGTAATTTTACAGTGCAACTTTTATTGTTGGGATGAAAAATGGAAACGTTCTTATTGTATTTTACTAAAATGGTTATAAGTCTAGGGTGAAATAATTTTCAATATCTAGCCAGCAGTTGACATAATTAGATTATAACCACTACACAACAATGGGGAGTGGAACAGTTCAAAAATCCCCTTAGATAAGAATACTTACAATATAGTTTTATTGTAGTCAAGTGCACCACTGTCGTTGTGATTAAGTGCAACAAATATCAAATACAATATAATATTTTTCATCCCAACAATACATTATTTTAAAGAACGTTAAAATATGAAATGCAGTGCTAGAAATTTTAATAAAATACAATACAATGTCAGAAATCCTAATAAAATACAATGCAATATTATACAATGCGAGAAATTCTAATCAAATTTAAAAATACAATATTATGCAATGAACATTAAAATATCAAATAAAGTGCAAGAAATTCCAACTATGCACTAATTTGAAAACGTATTGCTACGTAATGGCTCACATTCAGCAAGGCTTTTATTTCCTCTGTTGTAACCATAGTAACTAATTTCTCGCGATCACTTGGGTACCACAAGTTAAAAATACTTTTTTTTCTATCACTGCGTATAAATCATCATCATTTATTAACGTGTTATGAGCATGGAGCACCCAGTCCAGCTTATAAGACACCTGTTGTATACAAATTTTTTGTCTTACTGATAGATCAAAAATCTTAACAATAATTTTTGCTGATTGCTTAAAACTTTTTTCCATTAAATCTTCTATAGAAATGTCATTTATATCATTTGTCTGGATACCCAACTTTCCATAAAATTTATATCTTTCCTCCATATAAGCAGTGCTCCACAGTAAGAAATGACTCTCGTCTTCTAAATCCTTTTTGCATTGTTGGCATATTTTCCATTAATAGGTGTATTTGTGTAACGTACAGTTTCTAAATGTGTAAAGGTAAAATGCCCATTCGAAATTGAGTGAAAATTTATTTTTATTTTTTGTTAAAATCTATGTATGAATATTTTTCAGCATTAAATTATTTTTTAAATGTCATATATGTTCGAATTTCAAAATGGGAATTTAAATTTTTATTCACTTAATTTGACATTTTAGTAGAGAGTTTTTAATGCATTCTTTATCAACAATATCTTGATTATTACAGAATCTGAGGATCTCTCTTACCTCGAAGCACCATTTTTCCTCCAATATATAATCATATAATCTTCCAATTTATAATTTGTTTGACAAATCTTTCATTTTGGGCGAGTACTAAATTGTTCTAAAGCCTGAATATGTTCAACCAACTGCTAAATTTCAGTGGTATCAACCCCAGTCACCACACAGACTAATTTTTGGTGCAAATCGGTGAACTCCTAAATAATATCTTAACGCTTTAGACATAACTTTTTCACAGTTTTCATTTTCCAAAAATCCACAAACCCTCCGACCCATACTCTAAAATTGGAGTCACACAGCTGTTAAACAATATTTGGTGTGTGTAGAATCCCATTTAATCTACTATGTTTTTCATTTTGCTATAATTCAACCCAGTGCTCTACTAGCAGATTCAGAAAAAAGTTGGTATTATATTGAAAACCTAAAAGTTCTTCTACATAAGCCCCCATATATTTATACTTATCACCCTTTTCTATATGGTGACTTCTAAACTATACAAAATCTGCAGTACGTTCTTTATGTTTGAGCCTATAATGTACGCATTTTGTTACCCTGTAATTAATTATCATTGTCCACCACTGCCAGGCCGCTGTTTAGTTTTTCTGTGCTGTCAGATATTATCACCAGATTATCAGCATGAAGAAGGCTACTTAGGTTCAAACTCTCATTTATATTGATACCACCTTTATACTTCTTTAGCTCAATGATCAGATCATATAAATGTGGTCTCTCAGCTGTTATATTGAATGCAGTGGTACATAAATTGTAGCTCATTTTCTTTCACTTTACGGAAAGGATATCTATTATAAGTACATCTAACACCACATTATCTTCAATTACGAAATTCTTGAGCAAATGGTCCCCAAATACAAAAATATAATAATGATAATAATAATAATAATAATAGTAAACATTTCTTTTATCGCTGGATGATAGTATGCTACCTGCTTGTAGTTGTGAAGAAAAAATACCAAAGAACAGCAAATCTGTAGTAAAAATTTTTCAGATTACAATTTTAAAAAAATAACCGGGAAATATTATACCAGTAATACCTAAAAATTATTTGTTCGTTTAATGAACGGTAAAACTGATTCTCAAAAGAGGGCTTATAACTAATATCCTCTACGGTCAGGATAGGGGATACACAGGTGGTGAATAAAAAAAGATGCTGAAACGCAACAGATATTTCTAGTTATATAAAGGTCTAGCGTGTCTAGTATCCCTTTATTTCCCTTTATTAAACTTCGGGAGTTTGAAGAAAGTTTAAGTATTTGATTGGTCGCAATTTTGAAAATAAAAAATGACATTAAAAAATCATTCATTCAATCAATCATTCAATATGATTTTGTCAGCTTTTCTTTTAACTGGGCATAGGGAGAGATGGATTTAAAATGCATTAATCAGAAGATCAATTTATTGTGGCTGCTTCTATTTCTGTATAATTTCACATCATATAAAAAAAGAGAAAACCAAAAGAAATTTATCATAAAAATGCTCCAAAAGATTCAAACAAAAATTTAAGTTCGCTAGAATATTTTGATTGGAGATTCAAAATAATGATTCTAAATACTTAGGCCTACTTCTCTCTCATTTTGCTACATAATTCGACTATCAACACACTAATATTCAACGTGCTAGGAGTTTAAACGGGCCATTCCGCATAAGTTCCCCATTTTGATTATTTCATACGTGAAAATTATCTCGAGGTGCATCTGCATGCAGTTTTCATTTAGTGGGTTGTGAAGAGATGATGAAGTCATGCCTATGGAGGAAATAAAATGTTACATGGGGAAAACTTGTCCACTTAAATAAGCATGAAGGTACATGCAAAGATGAATCACAAATAAATTACCATCAACTGCCTAACATTAATATCTCAAAATACTATATTGAATCTAGTGAAGTTAAAATATCCGTATACTTAGTATCTTGACCGTCTCGCATCCACTCCCTGGTCACTCTGAACTGAAGAAGTGACATCTCTTTCCAGAGTGCAAGCTCAGTGAGTCCCCAGGGGGAGGAGGGAGGCAGCTGGAAGTGGGGCTCTTTTTTATTCAGCACTCATCATTATCTGACAGGTGATACTTCACTTACAGTTTATCAGAATTAAAGTAAACAAGCATACCTGTGTGCAATTTATTTTTTAAAATGCCAGGAAAAAATAAATAAACTTTTCCCCCCCAACACCGCCCCAAAATGTATCGACATTATGTAGGTCACGGGCTATCCTAATTTCGCCCAGTGTTTACTTTTATCTGAGGAGGGGGGTTGTATCTCATTTACCTCCTTGATCTGAGAAGTTTTTGCACTGTTTGACAAACAAGACCGTACTATAACGCCATCTGGTCGTCTATGCTGAGATCGGAAACTCAACAGATTATAATATTATAATTTTAGGGACTCAAATAAAATAGTCTGGTAGGAACAAGGGGTCCAAGTGCAAACCGTGAAGAACAATGGGTATCCTAATGTATTTGCATAATCCTTGATACAGGGTGTATCTATTTTTAGGTGTTGCCAGATGAAGTAAATGTCTCATGGGGTTCATTTTAACGTTAATTGAGCACATATTGACGTAAGGGGCGGGGGAATCATTTATAATATGGAATTTAAATTAGATATAATATACACTGTACATGTACGGTGCAAATTAAAATATGAAAATTCATACAATACTTGGTGCAAGTGTAACGACGGGGTTGGAATTGGAAATAGGGTTTTTAATGGCAGGGTTCTCTATCTACGTTCAACTTGGAGAAACAATTTATACTGAATCTTCGGGGCAAGGTCGCT